TTACCAAATACTTTATTTAAAATTTCCATAGCATCAGTTTGATTTTTGATCTGTCTTATAATAAATGACCAGAAAAATATATTAAAAAGTAACATTTGAAAACAGCTAAAAATAAAAATATAAAACTGTTTACATATAAAAAAAACTTTAAAAAGAAAACGAAGGAAAAACATTCATTCAAATGAAATTAAAATTATTAGATTAGATTTTTCTTTTTTCAACATTATACATTTTATATATATTTAATATATTTTATCATTCCAATGTTTTTGGGTGGGGTTATTCCACCAAAAATAAATAATGTTACGTTAAAATAATTCTCTGGAATGCGAGTTTGGCACTGGACTTGATGGACACAGTTTTTCCTCGGCCGTCCGTCTGTAAATCTGTTTCCACTCGGGTCATTAACAACCCTAACCTACACCACCTACACCGCCTACACTGGTCCATTCTTTCGAGCTTCCTATGATTCTAATGCTTCCTCTGAAGTGTAGCTGTGTGTTACTGGCAGAGATGGTAAAATGTCCGAGAGGGAAGTTTGAGTGAATGTATGAACTAAGATAAACAACATGTGAACGCCGTACATGAATTCCGCAAAAGTTTCTCATCGTGTCGGACATATAGCCGTCGATTTTTACTTCAGTAAAAAAATATTTTGTTGTTCACTCCTTATTGAACCCTCTCATTTTAACTGACAAAGAGCAAAACAAAACAGTGCAGTACTATAGTACTATAGTACAAGTAGTGTAGTAATACACCTCAGGAGTGCGCCACCTATTGGGGAAATTACAGAAATGTAATGCTAGATATATATATATGATAAAAAATATATTTAATAATATAATTTGGACAAGTTACAGTACAGTGGTTACAGTAGTTCTTCTGATGTGAGTTTGTGACACAGGGATTACAAAACGACCACTAACGGCAAAGTTTCACAATCACACAGTCAGGTTTTGGGAAGGAAGCCAAAGGGTTAGGGAAGGGAACGGGAAATACTTGCTGCTGTGGGGGAGGCGTGGGCCCTGGCTAACTTTGAGGTAGCTTTTGACATAAAGAAATGTTTCAGGTTGAAGGTTTTATCAAGTCTGCATGTCGTTAAAAATAATCAAGCAAAAAGGAGTTCTAAGTAAGAAGTAAAAAAACCAAAAAACATAAAGAGCAGGTCTGCTGCTGCTACGCTGTCCTGTCTATGTGCCGCACATCTTAGGAGGAAACTGCAGCCCCCAAACACACACACACACACACACACACACCAGCAGCAAAGGCTTCAGATAATGGCTCCATTTTTACTGCCGGGGCCTCTGGTATCATGAAAGTTGAAAACAGAAACGAAGAGGAAGAAAAAAGAAGAGAGAAAAAACAATGTTCAGCCTGAAAAGAAGACGAAGACGAGGAAGAAAGATAGAAAGAAAAGACAGAAAGAAAGAAAGAAAGCAAGAAAGAAAGAAAGAAAGAAGGAAGAAAGGAAGAAAAAAGAAAGAAGAAAGAAAGAAAGAAAAAAAGAAAGAAAGAAAGAAAGAAAAAGAAAGAAAGAAAGAAAAAGAAAGAAAGAAAGAAAAAGAAAGAAAGAAAGAAAAAGAAAGAAAGAAAGAAAAAGAAAGAAAGAAAGAAAGAGAGAAAGAAAGAAAGAAAGAAAGTAAGAAAGAAAGAACGGAAAGAAGGAAGAAAGGAAGAAAAAAGAAAGTAGAAAGAAAGACAGAAAGAAAGGAAGAAGGAAAGAAGGAATGTTGCTGAAAAAGGGGGAGGGGACAGGGAGAGGTTAGAAGAGGATATGGACTACTGCATTGAGGAGTCCACAAAAACAAAAGCAGAAAAACAAACCTGTGATGATGAACTTAAGACTTTAGGACCGCCGCTGTGGACCTGTCACTGAGTCTTTTTATTCAATAACAAAAAGGCAAAACTAAAAGTTTTATAAAGTAAAAAGTTTTGCTTAAACGTCCTGTGAAAACTTTTTGTCCGCCTCCCCCGTACATACTTCTACGGGACGTCTGCCTTCACCTCCATTCTCGTATTTTTTATTGGTACATTCAAGGTACATCGCAGTCTCATCTGCAAACTGTCGAAGGAGGAGGAATGTTTGGCCGTAACCGACATCGTTCTGACGCTGTCTCTTTGACATCTGTGAACTGCTGTGAGCTTCGGCGCGGCATTCCAGTCTGATGTTTGGACTCAACATTCCTAAATGCATGTTTAGGTTTGGAAAGTTATCACTGTCCTGGTTTGGATTTTACAGAGAGAGGTGGAGGCTTGGGGGGCGGGGGGAGTGTCATGTCATGTGTCGAACATGTTCGCACTTGTTTTGTAGGTGAGATTTAATTAAAAGCAAAAACACGAGCACACCCACGCCTGAACTAAATATTTATAAAATATTTTAGGATTTTTTTTCTCATGTGATAATGTTTGTGGGGGAGAGTAGAGAAGAAACAGTCTGTTCAACAAACAAAATACATTGACCTTTTTTTTAAAAATGTGTCATATTTAACGTTCATAACGTTATTTTTAATTCAAAACACTGAAGGTGAATTCATAGACGAAGACTTTTTTTTTATGTAATTTTCAACTAAATAAAGATACAAAGGACAGATTCATTGTCGTTCTACGGTCAGTCAGGTTATCAGACCACTGTAGAGTGATGTTATCGGAGGTCACTTCCTTCATTAAGACACATCCATCATCGATGATGTCTTAGTGGTCATGTGATGCATTCGGATGACCACCATTTAAGATCAAAGATTAAAGCAATGTCCATGGATATCAAAAGAGGAATTTCTAGGAAATATTAATACAACAACAATGAAATTTCACCTTCACTTGAAAACTGTTTTTAAGTCTCATCATCTGGGCGATAGATGGATGGATGGATGGATGGATGGAGTACAGATTATATTTATAAGTATTTTTTGTATATATTTAATTCAAATAAATGTATGTTTTTTCTTTCATGTTTGGCAGACATACATTTGTATCTTGTTTGTAATTTGCCATACATTTATGTTTGAATTTGCAATTATTATTATTGTCACCACTTGTTTGTTAAAGATTGTATTAAAAATAGGGCAACTGACAGCGTTTCTGTGAAAGAGCAATACTGCCCCAGTAGAAGCTAACCGAGCACAACAGGTGCTCAAACCGCTAACATCCCCAAACTTCCCCAAATTGGCTGTTATGTAACCCAATTGGAGTGTGACGTGGCCTTGTGGCTATAATGTTTCCTGGAAGCGGTGCCTGAGACACAACTTGTGTGTCTGACTCACATCCTTCCTGTGAGTGGTGCATCAACAGAAAGTTTTTCATAAGAATCCCCCGTTGCATAAAAAACAAACTCCTTCCATTAGCAGTTCATGGATCAGGTCTTTGGTTCTACACACGGGTTCCACAGTGTAGCGGTTAGCACGGTTGGCACCTGCTGGGGGCATTCTGTTACCAGTGTATCTGCTGCTAACGCAAGAATTTCCCAAATATGGGATCAATATAGTTCTAATTATAATAATAATAATAATAATTATTATTATTATTATTATAATTAGAACTATATTGATCCCATATTTGGGAAATTCTTGCGTTAGCAGCAGATACGCTGGTAACAGAATGCCCCCAGCAGGTGCCAACCGTGCTAACCGCTACACTGTGGAACCCGTGTGTAGAACCAAAGACCCGATCCATGAACTGCTAATGGAAGGAGTTTGTTTTTTATGCAACGGGGGATTCTTATGAAAAACTTTCTGTTGATGCACCACTCACAGGAAGGATGTGAGTCAGACACACAAGTTGTGTCTCAGGCACCGCTTCCAGGAAACATTATAGCCACAAGGCCACGTCACACTCCAATTGGGTTACATAACAGCCAATTTGGGGAAGTTTGGGGATGTTAGCGGTTTGAGCACCTGTTGTGCTCGGTTAGCTTCTACTGGGGCAGTATTGCTCTTTCACAGAAACGCTGTCAGTTGCCCTATTTTTAATACAATCTTTAACAAACAAGTGGTGACAATAATAATAATTGCAAATTCAAACATAAATGTATGGCAAATTACAAACAAGATACAAATGTATGTCTGCCAAACATGAAAGAAAAAACATACATTTATTTGAATTAAATATATACAAAAAATACTTATAAATATAATCTGTACTCGATTAACCTACTAATGTTTTTTTAAATAATACTTTTTATAATGAACAAATTGTGCAAACAGTAAAAAATGTTTTTGTAACATTCAAAACATTTAATGTTTATTATGTAAACATTTCTTCAAAAGGCTCATTTTAAAAAAAACAACTGATTAAAAAAAAACCCATAATATTTAGATGGACCTAATTTAACGTATAATTTGTCATTTTCACATTTATTTACAATTTTAAATATACAGTATATTTAATGACAGCAACAATACAACATTATAAATAAAAAAAATATTTTTAAATTTCCGTCATGAAAAATGTTCACTCGATTTAATACTGTTTTAAATGAGGAAATTAGGTCTTTTCTTACGATAAATAACGTCCTCTTAGTGGAACCAAATTAGAAACCAATCCAATTACCTCGGGGCAGAGCTGATTTCATCATCGTGATGTTTCACAGAGACACTTCTGGAAATTCTAACATAACAAATACAAATTAAGAGCTTTTTAAATTATTTTAAAAAACGTTTAATACTAAATTTACCCACACAAGTGTCTCATCGTGTGGTTTCTTCAAGTGGACGTCGAGTGTTTCTATTAAAGTGAACGTTAGGCCATACGGACTGTGACGTGAAAGAGGCAGATAATATCTGAGCAGATGTAAGATAGTGCCACCTCGTGGCTACATCTGGAACAAGAGCAAAAACACAAACTGACGGCTAACTTTACTGGCTGTTGTTAGCCTATTAGCTTTGAAGCTAATTTTAATTTCTGAAAGGATTTTCCTCTATTATTATTATTATTAAAATTGTTGATTTTAAATAATATATTTCTAATTTTAGTTGAAGCCTCATTAAATTGTCAGAGGTTGCAGGGATCGGAGGTCACATGTCAGAGGTCAGAGGTCAGGCTAGGGAGGGTTTGGGCTGATATTTGACTCTGTTAAAATCGTCCACCGTCGTCTCCACCGGAGGAGTTTTCCAGTACTCTTCGAGACCCAGAGTTAGACACAGTATGATGGCCGCCATCTGCAGGACACACCGCAGAATGAAAATAAAAAAATAAAATAAAAAAACACGCGGGGAAGTGATGCAAAGACAAAGTGGTTTGAACATAACGAGGAAAAACAAGTGACATAAATTTGTAAAATACAAAATTATTAATCCTATTTTTACATCCAACTGTTCTGTTGTCGTTGTTAGATTTTTTTTTTTTCATTATATTAAATCAGTTGCAAAACATTTATAGAACCAGATGTTTGTTTGGTTTTTTTGGAAATATTTTAATAATGATATTTTTCATAATATTAAATATCACATAAAATCAGTTGCAAAACATTTATAACCTAGAACCAGATGTTTGGGTTTTTTTTTTTGGAAATATTTTAATAATGATAATTTTAATAATGATAGCAACAATAATTAGGGAATGCTTACAAGTATGGAACATTCTTTAGATTAACTGATTCATAGAAAATGAGTTGAGCGTTGTGATTGGATAAAAAAAAGGAAGGTCATTCAAGGGTCGAGGAGGAGATCAGGTGTTTACGCTGTTAGTCGAATCGTTTAGGAATAAACTTTTTCAAAAATTGAAAAATTATTTTTTGTTTTTGCAATATGCCGATTAGTTACATGATACAAAATATTTATATATTCAATCTGTAACGACTTATAACGACATAACAGATTAATTAACCATTTTCACTTTTCATTTAAAACCGTGAAGTGAAGCTGTGTGAAAATGTGGATTTTTTTTTTTTTTACATTACCGCGAATGTAGCGAAGGCAGAGATGATTCCAATTCTGAGTTTGATGGGAAAGCTCAGGTGAGACTTTAGGATGGAGCCACAGGGCTGCAGACACACACACAAATAAAGTGAACAAAAAAAGTGCTGCTTCCAGTTTCTTTTTGTTGTTTATGAAAAAAGTCATTTTTCTTTTACTAAACAAGCTCTTTGTTATTAAAATAAAATGTTTGTTTGATAATTAACACGTAATTCCACATTTCAAACATGTGTTACATAAAATAGAAATACATTTCTTTTCTTTTTTTTACCTTAGAATGAACCCAGAGTTTATCTGAAACTTTTGAGTTCAGACGATGGTCGCTAGAGGTCACCATCGCACACGAGTCCTCTGAGCTGGGGTTAGAGCTGTGGCATAATAAAAGACGAATAAATGTCTGATTTAAAAAAAAGAAATCTTTGTCGTTTTATTAAATTCACACTATTTATAGGCAAGTAAATTAAATTATCCATATTTATATAACTTTTAATTCAGCCTGAAAATGTTAAAATTTTAAGTAGGTGAAACAACTTAATTCAAAATTATTTGAATTCTTAAATTCCTAATTGACTCATATTTAATTCTGAAACTCTACCACTTGTCTACCACGTAAATCAAGATAACCCACAAGGAAACTGTTTTGTTAATTGATATAATAAAATAATGTTCTTAAAAATATATATATATTTTGGATCAGAATTTCAATCTGCAAATATACAAACAACAATACACCTTTTATTTTTTTTTTTTTTTTACCCAGTCTGTAAGCCTGAGTCAGAAGGCGGAAGCAAACAGAAACAGGAATCAGGAAGTTGATTTTCCCAGTCCTCGAAACTCCTTAGACCACAACAGGAATCCTAAAACATACACATAACCTGTATTTATAATAAACATATATAAACCACATAAAACAATCATTGGATTAAATAGTATATTGGTGATTAAAACGGATAATCCAACAGATTATTAATAAAAACTGAACAGAAAAGAACTCAGCTGAAGCCTGCAGTTTGTTCAGTTCCTTCTGGATGTACACATCTGCTCTGTGAAGCGGCGTCACGTTCAGGAACACCTCGTCCACTGTACTGTCCAACTGCACCATGTCAACAACGACAGCAGCACAAAACAACGCGATGGTGACATCATTCTGCATAGTTTTTGTACAGAAACGTGGTCAACCGCATCCTGTAGGTGGCAGCAGTGTTCAAAACGTGCTACAATTACCTGAGCCTGAACCTGAACCAGGGGTGAAGCAACAACAAGCAGAGCCACGAATTCCATGAAGATCAGAGCAGAGAACTGCGTATCAAGCACAGGCTAGCATTAGCATCATACGGATTGGAGTCTTTTTTTCTTTTTCTTTTTTTTTTCACTTTATATTTCTATAGCTTGGTGCACTCACGTGTGCTATCCCTATCCCTTCAGCGAAACAACGTAATTGTAAACTACTTTTTACTGTCTGCTAAAGACTATGTTCACGGTGGATTTAAGTTCAAGCTGTTAGAGCACCCTCTGCTGGATCTTACAGTAAACACATAAGACTAATTCATACCAGTAATAATAATTAGTATTATTACAAATTATTCAACCCACAATGGAAACATTACGGTGTTAGTCTTTGCAAGCGGCACATGCCGCCACAGGAGGCGCCCTTACGGATATGTGGTTCCATCATATTGGATATTTAGCACATCCTTGTGTTTGAATTATACACTATTAGCATTTAAAAAAAATGTTTTTCAAATCGTTATTCAAATATGTTGTCTCACCACAAGTAGCAGAGGTTTCAGGTTGAATGATGCAGCACAGATGCCGACAAGAGAGAGAATGACTGTGATTGGACCAAACACCTGCAGGACCAGAAGACCATCACTGCTGGACAACTCATCAAACAACTGAGGGGAAAACAAGAAGAGAACAAATAAAAGTCATAGGCTTTTTTTTTTTTTTTTTTTTTTTGCTGGGTTCGCATCGTAGTTTAAATGCAACCGTCATCGGAATGCTGTGTTTACTGTAGTAAACATGGAGGCTACACTTGTCAGCCCTGCCACTGCCTCCTGTGGTCAACCTGAGGAAAGTCACATAATAAAATGCAAGAGGTCCTCGAGTTACGACGTCCTCGACTTACAGCGTTTCGTGGTTATGTCATGAGTTTATTAAGAACGTCTTGTTCTATCATTAGTCAGTGAGAAGAGCGGACGAGTATGTCGTCACGGAGCTACGCGCTGAAGACGGCTTTGTTTACATTAGCCGGTTGTACGCCACACATTGAATTGTGTTTGTGTTGTTCTTTTGGGAACTCTTTGCCCTTCATTATGGCTCCAAGGTGCAAGTCAGACTTTTCTGATGTATTTTATGTCCTAAATAATGATGTCACCACTGTGTTAGCGTAAGTGAGAGACAGGTACTACATCTACATCACATCATCGGAACTGAACTCCAATGTCGAGGACCCCTACTACACCTTTACAGGTGGTTCCATTGTGAACGCGGAGAGCAGAGAGTCCTGGGTTCGATTTCCAGAGGAACCACATATGCCTAATGGCGCCACCTGTGGCAGCCTCTGTTGGTTGCAAAGACTCACACTGTAAAATCCCCCATTGTGGGATGAGTAAGGGACAGTATGTGAGTTCCGACTTACGAAGAATTTCTCCAGGAGTGTCTCACAGAAAGCTTAAAGTTTGCAGAATGATATTTGGCTAAAAAAAGTTTCTCTGTGTGCCCACTGTTTGTGCATGCTCGTTTTGGGAGGGGGTTCTGAGCAATCGTACCCTCAGATGACCTCACGTAAAATGAAGGTATCACATATGTAGCCTCTGGAAGCACTAAAAATAGGTCCAGGAGGGAGAAGAGTTACCTCAGCAACAGGAATGTTTCCGTCCATGGAGGAAAATCCAACGCCGATCATCACAATCCCGGACACCTGCGGGGATAATGGAGGGAAACGATGGCTGGGTTTAACAAGAAGGTATATGTTGGAGCCACATTCCTCCCAAAGCACTGTGTCAGTGTGGAGACATACAGCAGACACCGCTGAGAGGCATCAGCGTGCACAGAGAATGGTGAGTTTATTGTATTAAGTCAGGGAGTAAAAAAAAAAAATGTGACAAATCTAACAAAAGCCAGACCATAAAGTGGCACCATTTCTTTTCTTTTTTTTGTGAAAAAGCGAAGAGGAAAAAAAAAAGGGAAAAAGAAAAGAGAAATCGTAAAATTTAGCTACATATAAAAATGCATTTTAATTAAAGAGACAGTAAAACGTCACTCTGTCTGTGCCGCTCCAGAAAATAAAACAGCAGAGTAAATATCTCCGGTTACAGTCGGTTTAATAAAAAACATGCAGGATAATTACTTTAATCAGCTGAAGAAGTGTAAACAATAAAAGTCAGAGCAGCCGAAACAGGAAGCAGCAGAACAAGGGGCCAGTAAACAACAACAAAAAAACGGCACGAAGGAAGTTTTGTTTAACTCTTTGTACGAAAGGTGATCCTACAACAACCTCGACTTCAGGTCAAACTGTACACAGTTTATGCACAGCAAACAATTCATGACACCCGTTCCACGGCAGTGTTATCAACATCCCACTACACTGAACTCACAGTCAGTGACTAACTGACATATACGTAACAACAACTGTAGCAAAAGTGACAGATTGCTGTGGTATTTAGGTAATTCATGGGTTGAACGTGTTATTTTCGCAGCACTAATATTACTACTGAAAAAAAATGTAGCTACTTTCTAATTATTAAAAATGTCCCACAAGGGTAAAAATATAAATAAAAGAAAAGGAAATTTTAGGGGATACAACGATGTTTTTTAAAAAAAGTTCCCAGTAAAATATCGTTGTATGGAGGAACGTCATTTTCAAAAAGCACATGCGACATACAGTATATTGAAAATGTCATTGAAAAACTGTTTTAATTGACAAACGTAATGGGGCCATAAATTGATCCCTGGGGAACTCCTATTTGTGCTGATTCCTTAGTGATGGATTTGACATGTTTCGATACGTTTTTAAATGATAAATAAAATAGTACAAGCATGCATGTATTTCAGATTGCAGTACTACCTGATGCTTCATACGTCACACAGTATAACTTACCATCTATTCCCATGCATTATGTACATAAATGATTCAATATTTTAGGCAGGCAACGAGTGCCATTTCTCACCGTGACATATATTCAATCAGATTTAAGTCGTTTTTGACGAGAATGATCGCGATGATGACGACGATGACAGTCAGTGTGATCGTCATCATCGTCACTGGCCTCACAAACATACATGCTAGTGTCGTTCAGACGTGTGTTGGTTTTGAAAAGGTGCGAGTCTCACCAGCAGCAGCACAGTCACACAAATGGAAAGTCCTCGTAAGTAACTCCTGCACTGAGCCATGATCGCAGTCTGAGAGGAGAGGAGAAAATAGCCTGGACAAGAGTCTGCTGTTCACAGGGAGAGAGGAGGGGGGGGGGGGGGGGACTGGAGAGAGAGAGAGAGAGAGAGAGAGAGAGAGAGATGATGGAGGTGTGTAGC